ACAATATATTTTTTTTTTGGTCGGAAAAAACTTAAACAATATATTAGCGTTAAGCCTTTTTCCAAATTTTAGTGACCAAATAAGGGTTAAATGAGATCATGATTTGAAATGACAGTTTACTCTTGAAAACTTCACACATGAACTAAGATTGATAGACGTAACATAACAAAGTGATACATCCAAATTGTGCAATTTGACCTAAATTAAAAGACGCCCATGCTAATAGGGTCTAGTCCAATTGAAAAAGATATTGACTTGCGTATTAATAGTCTCATATTTGAACTCTTATGGCACATTGACAATGCGTGCGAAAGACCCATTTTCAAATACCGCTTGTAAAAAAAAACCCATAAACATTTTAAATAAAACAAAAAGGCTAAAGATTTAGACTCCTTACTTTAGTACCAAAATAAAAGATAGAAAATTATTAAAGAGACCATATTATTGTACCACGCGCATTATGTAAGTTGTAATTAATAGTGACGAGATATACTTGTATTGGTGGACCCTACCTCCATTAGAAGGTTATATACCATATGTGTGGTACAACAACCTAATCTCCCTAACATACTGTAAGGATAAGAGTAAAGAGAAAAAAAATCTAAGATTAATTAGTCCCTTATCAAAATTAACAAGCATTTGTGCCTTTTGGGTTATGGGGAGAGTGTAGAGGTTCATCACTCGGAGGAAACAGAAAAGAAGGAGAAGAGAAGAGAAGAGAAGAGAGAGATAGAGCAAAAGGAGGAAAAGGTTCGGAGAAAGTGAAACAAAGGGCAAGCAAAGCAAGAACTGAAACTGGAAAGCGAAGGCGAAGGCAAAAGAGGTTGTCGGTTAATGATGTCGCTGCTGTCACCTTTGATTCTCCTAAAAAAAGCTGTTGCCGCCGCCGTTAATAGTTTCATTATTACGTACGAATTATAGCTTTGCCCCCCTTCCTTCCTTCCTCTGAAAATGATATTTGATTCGCTTTTTCACTCACCCAACCCTATTTTATTGGATTAATTGCTAAGAGCTATCAACTTCATTATCTTGTGTTTACGTATGTGTTTCCTCTTTTTAAATTTTGAGTTTAATATTAGTGGTTTTTTTTTTCCTTACAACAAAGCTACATCACTGTAAAAACGAAGATAAAAACTATTAAACCAAATATGCATTGCTCGTTCAGATAAAATATTTTCTTCATCACAATTATGACATTAATTTTGTAAGATTATGTGGGTTAGATAATGGGTTTTACAAATGTTTGTATCATATCTAATCGGCCTTTCGTGCCATGACACGTGAAAAGGACTTGACACCAAGCAGGGCTCAGGAGCCCACATTGGCCAGTCCGGCATTACAATCGATAGTCACCCCTCGGCACCACTTACTGATTCTACATCAATTAGGGCTCCAGAGCCCACATTGACTAGCCCAGCCTTACAATTGGTTGGTGCCCTCGACACCCATGACCAATTCCACACTGGCCGACCCAGTCGCGTAGGTTCGCAATTGACATTCGGCAGGTGCCTTTGGCACCCTATACCGATTCAGCCTCCTAGAAGGTATCTTGTAAGAATCTCTCAGATTCCTTACTGGTATATTCGCTTGGACATGTGGCAGCCTTCTAGGCTACTCTCACGAGTCTCACATCAAAAGTTTACACCAAGAGGACACCCAAATACCTCTATAAATAGAGCCCCTTGCCTTCATGGTACAAGGTAACAACTACTTGACACTTATGCCCTTACTTTATCAATAGCTAACTCCTTTCTTCTTCGACTAACTTTAGCATCAGAGGGCCTTCGGCTGGCACCACATCGGTGTTTTAGGTCTTACCCTACTGCTCTTGACTTCCCTCTCTCTCTCTCTCTCTCCCTCTCTCTCTCTCTCTCCTCCACTTA